GCAGGGACGGAGCCGCTGCTCCCCTCCGCTGGCACCTGCGGGGCTGTCTCCGTGGTTGTGTAGGAAACGGCCCCTTCCTCCCCCACCGCCGGCAGATCTTGTTTCCACTTCTAGTTCCAAACTTCCAGGTTTACCGCCTGACTGGCTACTGCAGCCTCTTTGTCGGTCTGCTGGATGCCTTCAGGCCTTGGGAGTTTTTCCTTCGGATCGCTGGAGAGCTGAGCGAGAGCGGTGAAACTTTACCTGAGACGGTGCAAGGCGGCCGGGCTTCCCTGCGACTGCCCACCGCGACGGGCTGGTGGCTGTCCTCAGTCACTGCACCGGGAATTGGGAATGCTGCACAAGGCAGGCTTGGAAAGCCCACCGTCAGTGAAGCCCTGCATGATGCCCCGCGGACTTTGATGGCATCTACACGGTTGTCTTTATCAGTCTGATGTGTAAGCTCTTCAAAGGCTGAAACCAATTCTTCTTGTTTTGAAAAACGCTCTTTTCTATAAAGCGTCCTCTAGAGTACTGCATTTAGCCCTCAATAATTGAACTTTTTACCAGCCTCTCCATTAGCTTGCCCAGGACATTCAGTGATTTACCTGTCCCATCCTGCTGTCTGTTGTGAATACAATGTAATGTGAGGAACATTTGAGACTTCTGGAGTTTCAGTTCCCTAAGTCAAAAATGAACAGCCAGGAAGATTTCCAGCCAGGTTTTTGTTTTTACAACCAAATGGACCTCTCTGTCCCTTTACAGAGCAGTAGATAAATACTTAATATCTGTATATAACACCAGTAAATATTTCCTCTGTAACAGATGTTAATGCCACTCTGATGCCCAATGGCTTAACACAAAAATCATCTTCTTCTTCTTCTGATACACTCAAAACATTTCTGTGTCTTTTGTGTTGTAATACAAGATCAAAGTTTTAGGTCATGATGAAGTGTTTTCAACCTCAAAGCCAATCAAAAGAAGAAAGATGTTCCAACAGCCTTCTTCATATTTACTATTAGCAAGTGCAGTGGTTACAGAGGTTAGAGAGGATAAAAGCTGCAGTAATTGTGAGAGAAGATTACTTGATAACAATATTCAATATTGTCACAAAGAAAGACTGGTTCTTTTAATCATGCTGGAGGAAAGAATAGTAAATGGCCCTGTAAACATGGGTGTGGGAAGAAAACTGGGGAAGAGTCATAATGTCACCTTTGTGCAGAGAAGGTCAGCTACCTAGAGAACAGCAGCATCTTCCATCACTGCAGAGATGGTGGAATAAGACATGACTGGCAGTGGCAGAGGAAATCTGAGGATCCAGCCCAGCTGATCTGATCACCTGCCCTGCCACTGATCAGGTTGGAGCACAGATTGCTGCTGAGTAATGCATTTATGAGTTACCAGTACAAAGCAGGAGCACTCTCGGGGTGATTAGAAGAAATTGCAGTGAAATGGGCTGGAGAGAATCAAGGGAGCCCTGTGAGACTTGGGGAAAGAAAGGAAAGGCAGATATCCAGAAAAAAAAAAAAAAAAAAACCAAACCAAAACCTGAACCCTCAAAACAGGAGCTGCATTAGTACAAACTCATGATTCCCTTTGGTTACCTTCTCCATAATATTGCTTTCTTGGGTACTGTCAGCCAGTGGAGGAAGCCCCTGCACCACTACATCCTAAATTGGGGAGGGACAAGAAAACTGGAGCTCTGTGAATATCTCCAATTAAGCACATTGGTCTGCAAAGCACTGCAAGAACTTGACTGAGAGACCCTCTCCCGTCTTGGATTATTCAGAGCTTGCTTTGTAACTGATCAAAATTTACAGATGAAGAATCCAATGTGTTAATTTCTATACACTGGAGGGCAATAAAGGAGCATAGTTACATAAATAAAGCAATGAAAATGTCATTTAAATTAAGCCAGTGTTTTCCTTTTTCCACAAGAGTTGATGGATAGCTAATTATTCTCATTTGACCCAAGATCTACTTGAAATTAAGTCCTCTTCAAAGTTGTTTTCCTGCCCCTATTGTTAATGATGCCTATCAGAGCCTCCCAGAGTAGTTGCTCTGAGTGATCTGGTCTTTCCCCACTTGACTTTCACTGCCAGCTCCTTCCTCTTTTTCCTGTTTATCTGCTTCTTATTTCCTATGATTAAGCACTAGATCATTACACTGAGATACGGAATATTTGTTTTCTTCTCCCTTCTTGTCAAGGATTTCTGACTAATATTTCCATTGTATTTCCTAATTAGCCTCTTCTGGGGGAAGCTTTATACTGCTTTCCCATTAATATTTTTATGAAGGGATATTGGTAAAACTTTTTATAGCATGTTCAAAAAAATCTTTAAAGCATGATTTCCCTCCTAGACTCTGTGAGTGGTGTTGGTATAGTCCATTTATTAAATTTTGAATTGGATGCCTCATGCTTTCCTGAACTTATTTACTCTGATAATTTTAGGGAGTTGTTTCTGGATATCCTGTCATGAGAAACAAACTGAAAAAGTGGTGAAATGGAAGTCATTAGTGAACAGGACTGAAGAAAAGTCCAAGATGACTTGTTGACAGAAACCTGAGAACTTGTCCAAGTAGCAGAGCTTAGCTAAATGGCAGCCAGAGGAGTGTGGAAAATGACTTATTTGGGGAATTTACAAAGAAAAGACAAGTAGAACATACTGTTGGCTTCTTTCCTGCTGACCAACAAGAGCAGTTTTGCTGTGAAATTTGTCAGCCCTGGGAACTACTGTGTTTCAGAGACTTCTCTGAAAGTGGCAGAGCTGCCAGGCTTGGTCTGGGAGTACTTGATGCACCATAACCCAGCTGACAGCTCTTCCCCTGTATATAAACCTCAAGAAAATCCAACAAAGGATTTACAAACATCTCCCAGTTTAGGCAGAACCTCTCCCTCAGTCAGCTAAAGATACATTTGAAATTATGTGGCAATTGAATTGTGAGAGGAGCATTTCTGTGAGGCACAGAGGTGGTGTCATTCCCAGCCCTCACTTTCTGCATCCAGCCTGATGTCCATGGTCTCACCACACTATGGGTAAAAAATTTCTTCCTAACATCTAACCTAACTCTCTCCTTTTTTACTTTAAAACCATGGATGTTTTAAAAGGAGGTGCAATTTGACCTTTACTTGTGCTGGGCCTCAAACACACACAAGCAAATTGCCCCAAGCCCAAGTCTCACATGACAAAATTTCTGCAAGCTGATGGCACATGGGGGAATGTGACAGCTGCACCAGAAGGACAACACTGATCTCCTGCTTGGGAACACCACTTGGGACAGAGAGAGAGGACTTCTGTCCTGAGATGTCTCACAGATTTTCTACAAAGCATTCCTAGGGGAACTCACTCTTCAGAGAAACACCTTCACTACCAAGTGTAGTATCTCCCTTTGCACGTATACACTCTCTCTTATAAATCTGCCAGTAGCTTTTAGTCTTCAGGCTTGTGTTGAGCTTTGGAGACAAAACTAAACTGAATCCCAAGTCACCTCATTTAACATAAGCCCATGTATCTTCATTTCCATGCTGGACCCCAAAGTACATTTGTGTGAGCTGCTGCTGTCACACATCAAACCTGTGCTCCAGCAGGACTTCAGCCAATGCAGTGTGACCTGGGAGAGGTGAAGGAGGAAGGCAGCCAAACAGCATACCTGGCACCTAAACCTCTGCCCCTCACTGAGTAATGGAAGGCTCACCATCATCACACACAGACTTGGCTTAACCCTGAAACAGCAAACAGAAGGGGATAGGGCATGGAGATGGGCTAACACTTGAAGCATAGAAAGAAAGCAGCAAAAGATGTGTGGATCTCTCATCCTCCAGAGAGAGAGGAGGATGTTGTGACAGGAAACACAGTCTGAAGTGGTCAGGCATTATCCCTTTCAGTTGGCAGCAGCAGCTCTTTGAAGACCAAAGCAGCTGCAGCCAAACCACCCAGCAACACAGATTTGTGCAGACTTGCCCTCGCTGTGGCTTCTGACCAGACATTCCTGCTTTCCCCTCCTGCCTGCAGCTTTCCAGCCACCTGCTGCCACTTTCAGCTTTCTGCTGCTATATATATTCTTTTTAATCTCTCCTGAATCCTGCCTACATTTTGTGAAGGGAAGATGAAACTGGATTTTTTCCAAGGAGGCTTTTCTAAGGATGCAAGTTATTTGTGATGTCAGGCCATTAATCTTTTTTAGCTTCCCTTCAGCCATATTTGAGAGAGGGAAGTGATCTGAAAGGCTGTAAGTTTCTACATGCAAAAGATCACAGAATCATTGAATACTCAGAATTGGAAAGGATCCACAAGGATCATTGAATTCCAACTCCCAGCCCTGCACAAGACAGCCCTAAGAACCACACCATGCACCCAAGAATACTGTCCCATCACTTTTTGAACTCCGTCAGGCTTGGTGCTGTGCCCACTTAATACTGATGCTAAGACAAATGGAGTTGGTTTTTTTCTTTCCCTTCACTGCTGGGACCACGAGCCAGAAGGATATTACAGTAGGATATTTCACTGAGATGGAGCTAAGAACAAAAACCTGCCTTGCTGCAGGGCAGCTAGAGCAGGGAATTGCCTTAGATGAGACTTGAGGTCAGTATGAGGCCTCACCAAGCATACTTTTATGCATACATGTACAGACAAAGAAATACAAAATCTGATTGCCTGCAACAGGTGTGCAGGAACACTAGTTCCCTGCAGGGGCAGATGTCAGTCTCATGAGAGTCAGCACTTTGTTTCAGACAGGTACAGGCCAGCCTGCTTATCAAGCAGCAAAGCTGGAGTTGGTGAGTCGAATTCTAGCAACAGCTGCAGTTTGTTTCTTGGTCCAGAACAGACAAAAAACCCACCCTCCCATAAAACTCTCTGCACTAGCAGTTTCTCAGACACTGCCTCAAGCTGCACTAGCCTTCAGCATTCCAGCAAACGCACTTCCATGAAATCCCAGGGGCAGCTCATTTCTAACCACAAGAACACTGTGTGACCCCAGACTGAACCACAGCAAGTCACAGGCTGTGGAGGAGATGGTGGGAGGTGATTGGAGACATCTGGAGTGGAAGTGTCCCTCCCATCTAGAGACTTCCAAGTTAAAGAAAATAGATGACTCAAAGGATGAATTCCAATCCTGCATTCTAAAAGGAATTCTCATTAATTCCAGAGCATTTGTAGCAAACATTAGCAGAGGCACCAGCATTAACCTGTGGCACTATGGTTATTGCTAGCAGTCCCATCCCAACTGAGGCACTGCTGTCTCTTCATGAGTTGAGGGATTTCTTCCAAGCAATTTTAACTGTTATTTCACAAAATACAGAAATATAAACTTTCTTCACTTCCCACTGGAAAAATAAATCATGGAAGCATCAATGAATATTTGAACAGATCCTCTTCTGAATCCTGCTTTTTTTTTTTTTTTTTTTATTTTCTAGATCTGTTTAGAAGAACCCTTCCTTTACAAAAAACAAAACAGAAAAAAAAAAGCAGCAGCAGCATGTTTTCTTCATTCTCCTATAACTGAACTGACTGACAGGACAGAGGCTGGCTCCACCCTATAACTACCTTTTGGAGGAAATTTCACAGTTAAAAAAAAAAGTCTGTTTTTGCTACTTGCAGCTATTTTCTTTCCCAGACTTGCAAATTATTTTCATTTTAGAGATCTCCATCATACATGTTTTTGGCAAGGTTTACTACAAGGTAAGGAACAGCTATCAAAACATTTCCTCAAAGTCTTAAATTTTATAGGTAATCATTGCTAATAAAATAATGACTACTTTAAAAAGTCAAATAAAACCAATATAAGGACCATGGCCATTAGAATATTACATAAATACACAGCAAACCAGCTTAATACGATTATATGTATCAGTTTTCTCTTATATCAAAGACAACATACCTTAGTACACAACAAATAGAGATTCTGATTTTAATTTCAAGTAGTTACTTTATATTTACTATAAAAATATTAAATGAGATTTTAAAAAAGCGATCCTCCAGTCCAGATGCAATCCCTAACATGCTAACTGCACAGAAAACACAATTTTTGGGAGCAACTGTAAACCACAGAAGGAATAAATTCTTTCTGATGCAAATACTTATCCACCAGAAACAGACTGGCTTCCTAATCTCCAGGTTCCTTTTCAATGCAGGTACCTTCCCTCATCTCAGTTCTTCCTGACATTTTATTCCCACATCTTGTGCAAACAAATGCTCCAGAAATTTTCACAGGCAATTTCTAAAACCTCCTGCCTTCAGCACACCTAACAGAGGAATCAAGGTGCTCACTTGTAAAGCTGCAGCAGCCTGAGTTTACAAGCTCATGAAAGATTTTTTTGGTGAAAAGGTGTAAGGTCACAGCAGTGTGTCCAGCTCAGAAACTCATTCCCAGGGCTTCCTAGAGTGCTCTGCAGGGCACAAATACAGTAAGCACACAGACCTTTCCATACCAATGGCACTGACATGAAAACACTTCAGAGTTAAACTGCACATCTGTAGAGAGATTGTGATTTATTTGTAGTTAATAAAAAATATTTTAAAAATACAGGACTTGAGCTCAGCTTCCTTTACATAACGTGCATTGACAATGCAAACCATCCTTCTTCTTTTTGCTTTTCTACCTGTAAAAGAAGAAACCAGTTGAGATTCATGTACAGTAAATTTCCCATAGACCTGTGTGTTAGAACTGTTGTCTGCCATTGGCACCATGGAGGGAGTCACACCACCTACTTCAAGCCACATCTACCTTAATAATTTCAAATTTCCCTTCTAGGGATGTATAGTTTGCTGTCAGGATAGCAAGTCCTGGACCCTAGCTCTGTTCTCCTTATCAAGCCTAATTTAGGTTATTGGTATGTCCTGATGGTTGCTTTCAAGCCTATAAACACATCTTATGACTGGTTTATCTGGTATACCACTGCAGATCTCCCTGTAAAAGCATCTCACCACAGGCTATGCTTTTCTTTGCACACCAGGGGGCAGAAATATAGATTGTGGCTCTTTTTACATTTGGATTTACTCATCCTTAGCAAGGGACTTTTGCAACAGCTAGGGAAGAGCTTGCTTGCCTCTTGACTGTGGCTCTACCACTACATCATAATCATGGCTTGAGATTCTCTGGAGCCACCAGGGAAAGACTTCCCAAGGTTTCCAGTTCTAACACACAAAGATGCCACAGCAGGAAAGGGTTACTTATAAACAACTCTGTGGCAGAAAATACTGAATGTCACTAGTTCTCAGGTCTCTTCTTACCAATAATGGTCTGTAATCCAATCTGCCACTAACTGACTGATAGTAGCCTTGTGATATTTAAAACAGGACAGAGCTCGCCTCCCTTCATCCATCTTACGATTATATTTTCCCTTTTATGACAACATATTCAAATTTTCTGGCTGAAGATTTTTCAGTCTCACCTTTGGTCTTTGGCTGACAGAAGTTAATTTGGCACTTTCTGATGTTGCACTTAAAGGTTTGCTGGAGTCTCCTACAGTCCTGGAAATATTCAAAATAAGATTTAAAAAGTGAAAAATGGAAGTGACTACTAGAATATTATCTCTGATCCTGAGATAGGACCCCTCATCAGCAGTCTTCAACAACACATGTCATCTGTCCTGTGTCAGATTGCACATATTTTAAATACAAACATAGGAAGTTGTGGAAAAGCTATTAGACCTCTGTCCCACTTGCAGAATTTAATGTGAGAAAGTAAGGGAAAATCCACAAAGTCAAAAACCAATGGCAATTTCTCTATTGTGTTCAATTTCTGCCGCATTGGTAATTAAGATACTAAAAATATGAAATAGTAAAGGCTGAACTTTTACCTTCTTATACTGGTCATACTGGCATGGGGAACACTGTCCTCCTTGGAGCTGTCCACAGCCACTGCCATGGGAACAGACACTTCAACTGTCCTCCTTGCATTTTCTAGGTGATAAATAATTGTTTGATTCTGGTGAGAACACAGCAACATTACACAACACTCATTTTGTTTTACTCTTTTTTCCAGAGGCATCACAACCTCTTCCCAATTGCACAGACACACAGACTAGAATTAAAGCAACAGGTTAAACATCAGTCTCACACTCACTTTCTGAAAATGACTGACAATGGAAGCAGAGACTCAGAGCAACTACAGACAATGCTCACATATATAGAATGATTCTTCCATGGTTAAATTTTCTGTGTTTTTTGGCAATTACAGGCTTACAGACTTCTGATCTCTCACCTTTGCTGCTTTAAGATTTTACTTATTGCGCTGAATTTACATTAAAACAGCCAAACAAGCATTGAAAGTGTTATGAACCAACCCACGAGTCACTGCAAAGGCACCTGCATTCAAATGCCCACATGCTGCTCCCTCCTCCCCCTTCTTCCTCTCTGCAAGTCCTTCCCCCTCTATACATCCTCTGTGGTTTCTAAGGGGAAAGGACAGGTGTCTCACACAGAGCATGTGTACATGGCCAGATGCAGTTCTGCTTGCAATGACAATAACTCCATGAAAAGATAAAGCAGCCCTGACCTCCTGCAAAGTAAACTTTTTTTACAGTTACATATGGCAGCTAATCTATGAATCTTGAACCAGCAAGTATATTCTCTAAGCTAAACTACCTCGTTACATGACTGGGAGCTCCTTTCTATTAGCACAGGCAGTAACTCAGCAAGACAGTCTGATGGAAAGACTACCCAAATGACAAAAACTAAAATGAGGTTGAGAATAGGATGACCACTCTACCATAAGTTTTAGAAGCCTGATGTGAATACTTAAGTCTTTTTCACCCAAGATTCTGCACAACAGAGGACTGATTAAAAAACCCAGTGCTGACCACCAGAGATTACCACAGAATCAATTAAGGTGAAAAATACATCAGAGATCATCAACTCCAAGCTTTGAACACCACCTTGTCAAACAGACCAAGGCACTGTCTGTGTGTCACATCCAGTCTGTCTTTCAGCACTTCCAGGGATGATGACTCTACTATCTCCCTGTGCAGTCCATTGCAATGCCTGACAACCCTTTCTGTGAAGAAGTTCCTACTAATGTCTAAATGTAGCACCTGTTCTTCAGACACAGCAAAGATCCGGTTTAACATGAAGCACAGTACTTGCAGCAGACTAATTACTAAGCTAACTTCAGCAGAGGTTTAGCTGATATTTTTTTAGCTCTCTAAAGTAAGAGGTGTTTGTACCACAAGGCATTAACAGCAAGTGTAATTCTGACCACAACCACTGATCCAGTGAGATAAGGACTCACCAAAGGAGAAAAACAGCCTGACTAGTTTTGTTCCTCCTGAAGCTGGGTACTCACCAGTGTAATTCAGGGATGGGGGTGGAACAGGAGACAGCATTGGAGGGACCATGTCAGCAGCAGCTGATTTCTGCTGGTCTATCAACTGCAACAGCTTATCCCGTGCTTCCGTACTCTGGCGATTCAGCTCCGCTATCCTTTCCTCCAAGCTCCTTGATACCATGAGATGACTCTACTTGGATAATGGGATAATTACTTCCAATGAAATATTTACAATTTTCACCCTAAAGGAGGGCATACAATGTATTTCAAGTACTTCTATGCATTTTGTTTTCAAACTGAAAGTGAATATAATTATGTAGCACTTCTGTGAAAAACCTGATTTTGGCCCTTTTAGTGTCCTGTATCTAAGTCCTCAACTGATTAAACATTACAATATTTTATACTGGTCTTCCCTCAAGTAGGAAAAATACAGCTATTGTCCATATAATTTGAGAAAGAAAAAAACCCAAGCCCCCACCCAAAAAAACCTCCCCTAAACCACAAGAAAACCCCCCAAAACACCAAACCAAAACAAACCACCAAACCAAACCCAATAAACACTCAGCAATTAACTACAATTAAGAATATATATAACCACAGACACATTCAGAAGGGTGTAGGGGAACAAAAGCAGGTTTCTAGCAGCAGCGTCCTGGAACTCATCTTTAAGCCAGGTTTTGATTTCTTTGACCTCTTCCCCTCCCTGTCACTAATTACTTCCACAAAACAACACTTACTAAGAATTTGCATCACCTTGTACTACCAAATGACTAAATACTACACAGCATAACCCAAAGTGAAAGTGACAACACTCTCAGCCTACATTTAAATGAAGAAATTAAAAATCTTCAGGATCCTTAATTTAGCAGTCAACCAGCCACTGTGATAGAACAAAAGACAACAGCAAGGCAGGGATGTTTTTGTGATGTGAACTTCACTCACTGGGATCCTACTGAGTAACTGCTTAGTTGCAGGGTAATTTTTTCCACTTAAACTGAAGCCTTCAAGGTCTCTTTCCCAAAATCTTTGGCATTCTCACAGAAGAGAACTGACAGGACTGACCCAACAAGCACATACACCATGATCAAACATTTGCAAAAGATGTACTTGCACTAACTTGAATCTCATCTGCCTTTGGGTCAGAGTAGCAGAGGAGAGATGACATGGTTTTAAACATGCATTTTACAAGCCTGACAAGAAGCTGTGGGCTGGTGCAGTGCTTTCACTGCTAACAGTATCCAAACTGCAAGAGCCTGGATCACATTGCAACACCACCTCTTGTTGCAGCATAACCTTACAACCTTCTTCAGAACCCATGTATAACATAGGCCCAGCATGAGAAACTGCTGCTGATCTGCTCATGGAATAATAATAAAAATAACAAATCTCCAAGCAAACAAGTAGTAAGTGACAACATGAAAGACAAAAAAGCACCAGTAAACTATGGGAAAGCAGATCATCAGAAAGGAGATCCAGGCTTCCTTTCCTGCTAAATTCTGACCTGTCCTTGTGAAGAGCCTGGACTAGGATCTGCATTTTGTGTCAGGCCTGGATGCAGACAATCACTTTTGTCTCCAGGGACACCTCTGAATTTGCTCAGTTGAGCTTTAATTAGAGCATTCTGCCGTGAGAGCTCAGCTATCTGTCCCAGAAGATCACCATTTCGAAGGAACTCTTCAGCTGTGCTGTTTTTTCCAGGGTCACCTGGGCAGGACAGATTGGTTTTCTCATGGGAACTCTCCAAGTTTTTGTCTGCAGGAGGAAGTGGTTGCCTTTGAGAGATGGGGCAGCTCTCCTCAGCTGTGCTCTGTGTCCTCAGGGAGGAAGGCAAGCTCCTTTCCTTGCACAGCTCTCTTTCAGCACACTGGGAAATGGCTGCCAGCACTACAAACACAAAATAAAGGGACAGTGAGGACAGTGACACAAGATCCTCACTGAGGAAACTAACAGTGACTTTACTTCATCAAGTTACTAATAATCAAGCAGAAATTTGAATTGTAGCATCTGGCCTGAATGGTTTTATGGTAGTGATCAAAACCACTCTATGCAATATCTTGCTGTAAGAACTCACTAGGTATTTCGTATTGCAAACAGTCTTACATTGAAATGATTTAATTCGAGATTGACAGAGTAGTCACTAAGAAGAGACATTGTTTCAAATTTCTTAGCTGACAGATTAAATACTACTTCTTAGTTAGTCCTCTATTTTCCAAAATGCAGTTACTTTACCTGATAAACTAAGTTTTTGTTTCAGTTCTGATATTTATTTTGTTTCAGTTCTGATATTGGGTTATTAACAAAACTTTCAGGATACTGAAACAAAAAAATACAAGAATTTGGCATGATAATAAACTAACTACTCAGCCCCTAAAGAGGAAGCAGAGCGGCCAACAAAGCAGCCAGGTATTGTTTTGTGGTCATCATCAGCAAAGAGATAGCACACCACAGAGACTCGACTACAGTTACAGCACTAACTGTAGTGTAACATGCTGTACATGCTGTACATGTAAAAGCCCATCTTGACTTTTGTGACCAAAACCAGATTTTCCATGCTTCGTACACCAAACAGCCCATTCCTTCACAAGCTTTAGTTTTTGCCTCTTGAGCAGAGATGAACACTTAAAAAATTACACTCAAGTGTGTTTTATGAAGCTATGAGCATAAAGAAACATTCATTAAGTTTAACATTTGTTGGGCCACTTAGCATCAGTCTTAAGAGAAGAACAATATATTTTAGAGAAATCTTGGAATACTGTTCTGCATTGCTGTTTCAAATGACAGAAGACATCTGACAGTTGTCCATGGGACTGAAACCAGACATTGCTTTTTGTAGTTCATTTCCTCCAGACTGTTTATGTATCTCCTCACAGCATAGCAGCCCACCAAGTGGCTGAACTGGATATAAACTTCCAATTGCCCAGCCAACTCCTTAAAAATCAAAACTTTTGGTTATTTTTATGACTTGGAAAAGGCTTCCAAAACAACAGCTGAAAGGGAGGAAAAAGGAGAAAAACACCAAAACCCATTCCTGTACCCTCCTTCTTGCCAGCCACCATGATTCTGGCCATGGATGTAGTTATCTGCCTCTCAACAAGGGTGCTGTCCAGGGCCTGGCATGTCCAGTGGGATGCATGAGCTTTTTGTGACAATTGTAGCAGGAAACAGCTCAGTTTTTGAACCAGAGTGCTTCCTCCTGCTCACTTCAGTGAGGATAAATGAGAAACAACTTCCCTAACCACCCTGATGAACCAAAACTGAGCTATGGATACCGAGACAAGACTGAGCTACCTGGTTATCTGGCAACACAATTTCACCCAAAATTTGCTCAACCCTTTGCTGTGTATGGAATGAAATCCAATGGGAACCTGGCTCCCATAGCATCCAAAAACCCCTTTGCTGGGGGGACTGGCTTAAAGCAGGAGCACACAGCCTACAGACATCCTGTTGTGTCTGCAACATTGCAGAACCAGAGTTCCAGGCTTCAGTGGTCTCATCATTGAAGTTGATGGAGGCTGGATTACACCATCAGCAGGTGGAAATCTGAAATGATGTGCTGTAGGTCATTGACACAGAGCTTCAGCAATCACAGATATGATAATCAAAGTGAGTACAGAATAAAATGTCTGGATTGCCACTGGCAGGACTGCTGCCAGCAGATGGAAAACAGGAAGTGTAAAGGCAGTCCAGCAACAGGCATAGCAACAAAGGAAATGCATATCTGGGTGCAGCAGTAGGATATTCCAGCTAATGGGCCATTTGCCTAGGCATACAGATAAAAAATTTTCCATGGAAAATGCATCTTCAGAGGTAGTGTGAGATTGAAACAGTAACACACAACACAGACTCCTAAGTCTACTGCAGTCAGAAATCTCACCATTCTGGAAATGAAACAATTCCTCACTGCTTTTCTGCTGTGGTGGGGACAACAGCACAGCTGGCTGGAAGATGTGAGCTGGGAAGCTTCTACCAGGTCTCATATCACTTGAGGCACCTGGCCCTGGGTGAAATGTGAAAGGAAGTTCTTCCTGTGGAAATTTCAGCATATTTTCCCTATTGCCTACTTCAGTCCTGGGCTCAGGGTAGGTCATATCAGGTTTTTCTAAAGAAAAAGGCAAAGCAGGGATAAAAGTTAAAGAAATAAACAAAACAAACCAACCAAAAATTACTTATAGTGAAATAGCAGTGTAGGAAAATATCAGTAACAACTCCTATGTTCAGACACTGAAAAGACAGACAAGAATACAGTATGTTCTACACCTTTCTTCTGGTGTCCAGGTGCAGAAGTCTTTCACTCAAGCAAATGATAAATCTTGACTGGCAATAAGAGCAAGAAGAACTCTTACACAAAGCCTCACAATTTCAGGACAGTGGCATGAGATCTGTTTGTAGCTCATGCACAAGACTTATAGATACATGTCTTGAACTATCTGAGCTGCATTTGGCAACATTCTCTTGAGAAAATCAACTTATGCACTTGTCCTAAACCCCCATATTATAAATTTGATGGCAACAATGCTGTTAGAAAACCATCCAAGGCTTTTTTGAGCTCTGCTGATCTTACTATCATTTAATTCAAATGAGAGGTCTCTTCAGTAAAAAAAAAAAATTATTCTTCCTTTAATTAAGGAAAATAAGGAAAAGATTTGAAAATTTAGTGCTGCAGAATTGATGAATGTGAAGGTTTAGGTGTTAGGTTGGGAGTTTTTTGAGGGGTGCTTTTCTGACTGTTTGGATTTTATATTTTGGGGGTGGGTTCCTTTGGTTTGCTTTTACAAGACTTGGGTCAATCACATGAAAAGGATCTGGTATGTGACTTCTTCTGAAGAAGATAATCTTTCCAAGAAGAAAGCTTTTAGCTACAGAAAGATTCACAAAACCAACATTTAACTGTGGAATACAAGTAACTGTGAGAAATCTTGGGATTCACAAGAAGTTACTGACCTTGGGAGCAAAAGCAATACATTTAAACAACTGGCCAGGAAAGACAGCTGGGAGGGAACTCAGTGTGAAAGGTGGATAACAGTCCAAGGTGAATCCTGTTTGTTTAGTTTGGCCACCCATGTGAGCTGGCTCAGCTCAGCCTGTCTGCATGTCACACAGCACTCAGCTGGTCACTCTGCCCTCAGAGAGCCACAAACACCAAGGACACCTGACTGGCTGGTGCTCTGGCCAGCAGCGACCTCCAGCGTCTCATGGAAGTACCAACCTCAGACTGCCAGGCTGCCCAGCAACAGGGAGCTGAGATCCTGATTCTGTGGGGTTTTACTTCTTTGGGTTTCTGGGGTTCTTTTAAGAGCCTCAGAAAGAAACTGACTTTGGAATGCTACTCTCCTCCTTTGCCTGTGCTCACAGCAGAACCTATGGCCTGTGAATTTACAGAAGTGACATTCACGCTTCTGCAAGAGGAACTTGTGCAAGCAAGCATCTATCAAATACCAGATTTTCCACTACAGGTATAAACTCCCCACTCCTCTTTCATCTTTCACACATTCATTGTGCATACCTTGGCTGTTTGCTGGGCCTCTGCTTGCAATTCCCAAATGTTTTGAACTTTGTTCTCTTTCAGGTTCTACCAAAGGGAGGTCCTTAAATGCTTGTGTGAGACACATCAGCTTTTCATCTGTTACTGTCATGTATTGCTGAAGCTTCTTCTAAAGGAGGAAAAACAGACCATACACAGAATTACAGAAATTTGTGTTTCACCAACATAAATTAGAAAAATATATACTACAAGAAGTTGAGAGAAGAAATTTGGCCTCTTAATACTACTGCATGATCTTGCAGGATTGCAGTGAGAATTAAATATTATTGTCTCCATGTTTCTCATTTACAAATAATTTGTTTTGCCTTTCTTATTCATGACATTACTTCCTCTCTAAGGTTTCTTAATTGCATAATTCCCAAATGTAGCCATTGATCAAATCTACCTCCACTAGAACCTAAAAAAAGGAAAATGTATTATTACATCTACTCATTGCTCCAACAGTGTTAACAGTATAGAAATGTGAAGGAAGATGCCTAAACTTTTAGATGGATAAAGTAAAGGTCAGTTTCACAGAACCAGCACTTTCTCAGGCTTTGAAGTTAAATAAACAAATGACTTTCCAAATATTTCATACCCATACCTGCTACTGTAATTCTTGGGCTCCTTGCTCAATTTTATCACTTTCTGTTTATGGTTAAAATCTCCAGAACAGAGCTCAGAATTCTAATACAACCCAATTCTAATACAGTACCTGCATAGTCATGTTTTCTTCCCTTACTTGAAGAACCTCAGCAGTCAGAGCATCGATCAGTTCTCTGTGTTCATCCAACATCTCCTTCTGCTGCTGCCTAATCATCTCTTTCTCATGCAGCTGCATTTCAGCCTAAAGATAGAGAAAAAAATTGAAAACTTACTATAAACCAATACAGACTCATTTGAAAACAGGAATGAGTCATGATGACATCATAATGTAAGAGCTCTTCGCACTACTGCTAAACTTCATTACTTTTATGACAAAATCAAATTGTCCAGCCTTGAGAACTGTCAGAGTTTGTCTCTGATCCTCCAGGACACTGTAGGGAATCCCAGACATCCTTGCTCTTCTGCCTTTACAGCTTTTACAGGTTGTAACTAAAAGCATTTTCCCTCTGCACAGATACAGCTTCTTAAGTCACTGAATCTTCATGCAGGAATCAAATAATTCCAGGTGTGCTGATGCTTGTCAGGTTCCCATGCTACTTGTGCCTAATCTTTAGTTTCCCTAATTCATTAATGAAGACAAATTTGACTAAGTAAAGGAAAACTTACTTGCTTTCTAATGTTTTCCATCAGAGAGAAAAAGTTCTAGAAGGTTTCAAAAGTATGATAACCAAACAGCTCTGCATCCATATGATGTGAATGAATTAATATTTTTGATAATAAATCACAGATACTCCACTGGAAAAAGACAAGCAGATACACCTCCCTTAAGTATATGAAAGGCAAACCATCCATTTTCTGTTTCCCTTCCAGCTGGAGAGAACAGGGATTTTTGTATTGATCCAAGTGAAGCATGCTGGCTCAGAAAATGGATAAAAAATCCTGTACCTGGCCTCTTTTGTGCTGTCTGATTTCTGAAAAGGGAAGCACTTTTACCCTGGTAGCAGTGATGGAGCTTCTGGTGCCTTAGGATCATCTGGATGAGCTACTGTATCTACTAATCCTTCACAGCACTAACCTAGTCTTGGAGGAAAAGCTTGCAAGCAGCTCTGTCTTATTTATGCATAGGGAAACCATCAGGGTAACATCTATTCCTATCCCCAGGCAGGATTTAGGTCTGGTATACCCTGAAAGAAGTGTTTCCATCCCAGCCCACTGGCAGGTGTGGCTCTGATCATGGGAGCTTTAACAGTGCACCAGGACATGGAGCAGACAGGGAGAACAGAGCAGCAGATTCAGGGAGTATGCCCATACTCTTTGTGGGTCTGGCAAAGAAACAGCTTTCTCAGCAGAACGAGGGTGAGGAGGGAATGATTCATTCTAACACTTGGAAGGTGATCTAAAAATTAATTTAGAAACCAAGTCAGACTTATCCATTTCCCTTTAAGAATTTCATATGGTTTTGCAAAGATTTCTTTTTCTCTAGCCTCTCCCATAGTCACTATTTCCTTCTTACAGGTGTTGGTTTGTTAATCACATAATAAAAACACTTCCACAGAAGATTCGTGATTCAAATTTCTCCTCCTGCTTCTTAGATACAATTTTGAGAATAAATTAGGCAGCATCCTTTATTGCAATCCTTCTGATTTTCTGCAACAAAACTGGAAGGAGAGGAAGGGAATCTCTAAAAGCTTTGAAACCTCATGGAGACTGAGTGTCTAACTGTCTAACTAAAATCAGGGGCTTTCTAAATATTCTCTGCGAAGTCATGTTCTTCAAAAGCACGGCCAGTTACAATTCAGGCACTGGAATTCTGCTAACTCTGTTGGCTAAGCAAGACAGATGGTGCAAACAAGTGCTTGATCTATGTCTGGCATCACAGGGACCAGGTTTTATGAAACACTCAAGACAAGCTGGGCTTCTTCCCAGCAAATTCTCAAATTATAATTGTAATTAAACCTCCCTGAAAAGGAGAAAAGTCACTTTAGAATATGAGTGCAGTATCTATCTCAAGCAAACCTGAATACAATTAACCACATTATGCAGCTTGAGTGACTTTGTAATATTGCTTACTTAAGAATTTAGGTGGTAAATTTGTGTGTGTGACAGACAATTATGCAAACAATCAACTTCTGGAAGGATGGAATGGTAACAAGAAAAATTATGAGAGTATCTTTGGAAGATGTCTGAGGCTCAGGAATAACTCATTTCTGTAGAAAATTTAAAGACAATCTAAATAGGATTATAACTGCAATTACATTTATAACACAAACTAGATGCTGTTAAATTGATGTATTCCTAATAAACAGAAAACATTCTACTGAAATTCTAAGATCCTTCCTTATAACTGCCAAAGAACCAAATTTGATTCTCTGCTTTGGTATTACAATTTTAACAAAAACTAAGCATTATTAACTTTTTTTTCAAACATAAGACTTTCTCAGCTGAAGTCCATCTTCTGATGGCAGCTGCTTTTCTCTCTTGGATTGATTATTTACTATTTGCTTCCAGGACTTAATCAAAGTAAATTCCTCCATACAGATTAAATACAAAGTAACACAAGGATTAAGTTATTATACATCTGGAAAGAGAAAAAAAATGTAGAATTTTAAAATAAGATGGGTTTCCCCCTTTCAATTATTATACACTCTAAAAAGGAACCAAAATAAGAGAGTTCCACATGTCACATAGACCAAATCATCTGTGAGGCACCACTCCCTCTTGATAGCTCTGGGATACAGATGGATTGGAACACACTTTTTCCCCCCCTTTTCTCTTTTAAATAAAGCTTCTATATGGCACACAGGTGATCTTCTGTACGAAATTCCATTAATTCCCAGCTGTGCATTGTTATAGTGAGCACTTCAGGTCATTCTTGCTTAAGGTAAAGTTTCGGTTCTGGATAGTAAAAGAGGACTAAGGAATCCCTCAAGGAAAATAGGGGATTTGGGTCCACTGCTCTGGTGATAACAGCATCATCTTTGGCAAAGAAGGCAAAGGAAGAAAATAAATTTGCAAACAATGCTGTAGTTACTACCCTGCTAGAACTCTGAGTATACGTAAATAACAAATTTTAAATTATTTCAATTGGTATTTTCTGTCCTTCGACACTGAGAGACTTTCACTGCAGTCAACTCCTCCATTTTCACTAGGGATACCAATTCCTAACAAACCAGTGCCTGACAAACCAAAACTTCTAAACTCCCAATTGCATGCAAACCTAGTAATAAGCAATGATAATCAGAGTTCAATGTAAAATGCTTGGAAGCCAGAAAAGACCAAAGTTCCCATCTGTGAAATAACTTCACACCCTTCTTCATTCACTCTCCAGGAGCAGTTCTGAGTCTCTCACCTCTTTGAGGTAGCGCATCAAGCGACAGAGAGCGTTCACTAGGGACAGAGTAAACCCAGACAGGCCCTCACTTCTCTCTTTCTTTGGCACCTCACGACCTGTACATCGCTCATATTCCTCCAGTTCATGCTCTACTTCCTGGATCATGTGGCTGAGAACATCTAGGCTGGATTTGCTGTCCCTCTGAAGGTCAGTCTGCGTTAAATTAGCTGGAGAATCACCCCTTTTTTGTCTTGCAGGGTTCTGTTCAGCTTGCTTTCTTTTCACTGAAGGGGAAGAAAAAGGGGTCACTGGAATTTCAATTTGTATAGAGATCTTCACAGTACCAATGAAATTGCATTGTTTATTGAAGTAAATCAAAGGAAATGCCCTCTCCTGCCATAAGATGAAACAAACCATCAAAGAATGTCCCCTAGTTATTCCAGCTATTTTCAGATCCTAAAAACCACATTTTTTGCTGCCACAGTAGTATCTCTCAAAGACAACTGACTGGTGCTTTTATCTTGGATACACCTGTTTGTACTTTTCTCCTTTCCAGCTAAATGCATGGAAATAGTTTGCTAATGAAAAACATCAGCTGCTTTCTCATACTCAATAAGCAACTCTCCTTTTATGTACAGCTTGCAACTGATGCCAGTCCCCTCATACAAACACACAGGAAATGGGGACTGATCCTTAACCTGTGCAGCACACAACACAAATCTGGATCAAAATTAGATAAGTCCTGCACAGGAGAGGGCTCCATGGGCAGCAAGGTGATGGGCAGCCTCCAAGGGCTGTTTTTATGGTTCCCAACTTCCCTGGACTCAGCTTTGCCAATGAATGTGCAGAACACAGGGAAATACACCAGACAAGGAGCTGTGGAACACCCAGCTCAGATATGCTCAAGACTCAAGGATCCCCTCACCAAACTTTGGTATTAGCCCTGCAATGACTCCCAAAAATCCCTTCCAACCCACATTTTCTGACATTAAGGATCTTGGAAAAAGGGTGTTTCATTTTTAGAAGTACTTAACTCTTTGCTGCAATTTGCTTTTGTTTCCTTGAGTTTGGGTTCAGCACTTGTCTCACAGTGTCAATGGAATCTACAGACTCTTCTTCATCTTCATTCTGAAGTCTTGAATGGGTTCTCTTGATTACACTGGTGGCATTGAGGGCTGATTTAAACACAAAACAAAGAAAAAAAAAAAGTACATGTGAAATATTTCAGGCATGTCCTTAACAGCAGTATGTTCTAGAGTAATTTTATGATAAGAGCTGGCTTTTTAGTCTGAAAATACATCTGAGCCAAATTAGCATACATTTCTGTCTCAGACCCCACCCAGGAAAGGAACTCCAGACAGGATCTATGAACAGCTCAACAACCTTGCTGTGATTTGGCAAACCCAACCTGACTGGTCCAATGAAGGGGAAACAGTTGCTGGAGTCCGAGGCACATTTGATTCCTGTGATAAGGTGGTTTTTCTCACACCTTTTTCAGCCCACAATGGAGAATTCACCAAGGAATTTTCTTTTCTCAACAACCGAAGCAGCCTACATTCAAAACAAGAATAACAGTGAATTGTAACAGGACAATGGAATGATTCCACATTATCTGTCTTGACAGAGCTCTTAAAATTATCTGCAATTGCTCAGGTGAGTTCCCTGCTCACTTTCATTCCCAGTCTCAATGTTACAACAAGGCCTTTCCCTGGAATTCTGAGATCAGGAAAAGAGGGCAAAGGGAAACAGAAGAACTAACTGAACTCTACCCATTCACCACCCTTTTAACTTCATCTGTTTCCAGTGTCAAGCAGGCAGAAACATGAATGAATGTATTTGTACTGACCTGTCAGAACTGATCCTGGATTTGAAACCCAAAACATCATGGTGTCCATCTTCTGATAATGCTTCTTCCTCCTCCTCTTCATTAAGGGCCTTCTCAAGAGACAACAAAGAAAACAAAACAGAATTCAGAAGAAGTTAAAGAAATGTAAAGAAATTGTTTCAAGAAAAAACCCAAGAACATTTGTTTTAGTCTTCCCCTCCCAAGCATGCTTAAAATAAAAATATCACACAGAAAAAAAAACCAAAACAACCAAATCCACACCCGTTTGTAGGAAGTTCTGGGGGATTTTAGTCCCTAAGAAACACTGATACTGACAATTGCCTCTGAAAATAACACAGCAAGTGACTAATTCAATAACCAATATTTTCTTTGTATGATTTATATTAAATGTGAAAATCCATGCAAATTAGAGGATAAACTAAAAGCTGTTAAGGCTGTACCAAAACAGAGACACAACAGGCAAAATACAGAAAAGCAACCTGAATCCATACAGTTTGTAACATTTCAGTCATTTGACATTACAAGCTAAATAACTTCATAATGAGATCTGCAAAATTACATTTATAGTCTGTGTGTAAAATGCAACCAGAACAAAATAAAATCCTATGTACTACATCTATAGCTAAATGCAAATAACCAGAGGGTTCCTCAAACTACCAAGTTTCTGAGCTGCTGGGTAGGTTTCACCAGATAGCCTTTAACTGTGATTTTCATAGGCACATAAGAAGTCACAGAAGCTTGGCACACAATCAGTACATGTTCCTTTTAAAAATTTCAGCTTTTCTTGCAGCATGCATCCAGTGACACAGCTTACAAAGACGCTGTAGTTCACTCCTCACATTAAAAAAAAGGCAAAACAAATGCCACACCAAAATACCTAACACAGAAGTACCACAACTCAAATTACAGATATTTTTGCAAGATAGTAGGAAATGGAAGTAGAGAACCGTGGGAACATGACACCATCCCTTTTGCTCCCAACAGCCTGTTTGGTCTCCATCAGAGGGAAGTTTTCTGGGAGCACCACATGCCTGTTATCAAACACCAGTGAGCATTCCTGCTACAATATGTTATTAAAAGAAAACAGAGCCCAAAGGCAAACTAAATTAAATTTGAAACAATTTAAAAATTGTTTACAACAAATCTGAATAAATGCAAAATAATGCAAAGTATTAAAAGTAAAACTTGTAGGAGTCATCAAGGCTGTGGAGTGAACTGGGATGCAAATAGCTGTGTCCCCATATATGCAGACATAATTGGTAAATCAGAGACATATTCTGAAATATGGCAATTAGTTAAGTGACACCAAAAGTTCTTCTCTTAGACTGTAACCACAATGTACTTGTTCTGAGAATTCCAAAATATAAAACAGAGGGCATGCTTATGTGAGGAGACATAATGGTATTTGTTTCTCATATCTGAGAGTTAAATCAAAAAATCACAATTCCCAGAGTCTTACAAAAGAAACTCACCTCTGTTTGATCTGGTCTTCTATGAATGTTATCACCAAAAACCAATTTAGTTCTGCTTGGAAATTCTTATCTTTGCATAGTCTTATTTTGTGCAAACAAAAGAGCCACAGGATGTGTATGCATGGAACAAAATATACATTACCTGGGAATCCATGACAGATTCATTGAGGATGGAAAGCTGACTGGGAGGATGACTTTTTTGTACAATGGGTCCTTGAGACGATTCTAGGTCACAGTTAGGAGCCATTGTTACATTAGGAAAACCTAGAGGAATTAACACAGGGAAGAACACAGAGGACTTGGTCTGTACTTATGTTTGCAGGATTATGTACTGAAAATCAAGCTCCTGTACTTCACAAAAAAGGGGTCACAGGGATGTCACTTTAAATAACCACCAAGGACTGACAATAGGGTTAATTTAATACACTGGGCCACATACTCAGCTTTTGTCCTTCCCACCTGCAGAAGCAGCTTGCAGGATCAAAGTCACCAGCAACAAAAGAGAATGGCAGCCTAAAGAGAAAAACCCCTAGGTTTAAAATTTCCTAAACAGACAATCCTGCCTTCAGCAGCACAAGGATCCAAAGGCCAAATTAAGAAAAGGAAAAGCTGATATTGCTGATAAATCTTCAACCATATCCCAGAGCAAAGAGTCAGCTCAGGCAGCAATGAGAATCAGAACCATTGCAGCAGCTCAAACTGCTGCTCTGCACAGGCCAGTAGCTTGGCTGTGCAATGGTGAGTAGGGAGGTGTTTCAGAGCACATGTGAAACTCCACAGTGGACCAACACAGTGGAATAACCAGCCACCAGTCACTCTCCCCTGCCATGGGAGGTGATAGCCTCACCTGTGTTTCATCCAACAGGAACAGGATCAATCACACCACGTTAGACAATGAGATGAAAGCAGTTAAAAAGAGCACTTTGCAAAGCAAGACTACTCACAGAAAGCAAGGAGATCTCTTAAATGTGCTGCCAATAGAGATGAGATGTGCTACCTGTTCGTGTGCGAGGAGCATCCTCAAGCAAATCTTTTGCCCCAGCCACAGCCTGACCAGATCGCTCCAACACATCTTGCAAATGATACTGATCAGACAGAATCTGAAAGTACAGTGCAAAAGGAAACTTTACATTGAGCAGACTGATCCTTTCCTTTTTTTTCCCCCGGTATTGTTTCTCTCAACAGTTACCAAGACAACAGCCAACAAAAGAACATTTGCAAAGTTGGTATTGCACAATTAGACTCTAAATAAGATATATCAGAACAGCATACTTCATTCAGAGTAACTAGAATTCATCCTGTTTTTCTGAAAAATTAAACAGTTATTGCTTCTCAGGCCCCCATCAGCACTGACTCTCTTTAGAACAAACCCTTTCACTTCCTCTTCTCCTTCCAGCCTGACACAAGAAGCTGGGTATTTACAACATGCTCATCAAAAAAAAAAAAAAAGACATTTACAGCAATTTAAAAAAAAAGAAAGCATTCCTCAAATAATTTGATCTCAATGTTAAGTCATAGAACACTTACCTACATCTGACACACAAAACATGTACTATTTGATGATATTCAAACCAATTCAAGCAGACTTGTTTCACTCAGTGTTGCCTCCTGAAAATCCTACCTAAAACTTAAGCCACATACCACCCAAAGTTCCAACAGAGGTAAACACAGCTGACAACATCTGGCATCAGAAGACATTTTGGGAATCTCCAGAAGATACAGCTTCTGTATTCAAATTTTCTTTCCAAAGTCTGTCCCTAGTATATGAAGTCCATCACAACAGGTTCCTCCTAAGGAAGGATTTCTTGGAGTGCAAAGCAAGAGGCATCCATTTACCATGAGCCAAATGGAGCTGCCTGGGGATGGGGATTTGTGAGCAGAACACAATTTAGAGCTCCTCTCTGATGCCTGGCTTCATTCAAAAGCTGGAAATTGAAAATCAGTAAAATTATACCCCACAACCTGGGGAGAAAGCAGATATTCTTAAACACCTGAGAGGAGATATGTAAGTGACCTCCTTCACCAAACTGATCCAGAGACTGTGAGCACTTCAGAAGACCTCACACAAAAGGCTCATGTATGCCCTCCTACTCAAAATTTGAAAACTGACTGACAATTTTTGCTCCTCCAGGAATCATGAGAAACTGTTTTTAAATTGTTTCACAGTACTCTATGCTGTCATTTCCACAGAGTTCTGTTCAATGTCCATTGGTAATTTTGCTGGCTTACATTTAGCCTCATACAAAAAATTCTAGGCAATGGCATTTTGCTTGTTTCTCCTCAACCCCCTCTTTTACTACATGCTTTGTTATGTCACAAAGCATCCCTATGTATCTGAGTTTCCATGTTTTCTAGTCTTTTGAGCTTGCACTGCACTGCAGTAAATTAGACTTCTCATAATAATTTAGCAAGTCAGTGAATATTCACCTTTCAAGCACTTCACATATCTACTTTTCCAGACCACTGTTCAATTTTCACATCTGATACAAACTAAATCTAGTGTTTTCCATTAAGCCATTTGACATCTAAACAACGCAGGTTCTTAGATAAAGTTATTATACCAGACCGGCAGAAGAAAAAAAAAATAGAACAGAAAAAGTTTATAGGATTAATTTTCTGAAGGTAATTAAAATTAGAGTGGTGTGTATAATCAGACAAAAATTATCCTGATTAGCTTGTTTTTACCCTCCTCACTAGGATTTTTTTTGGCATCAGCAGGTTCCTAAGCTCTTCCCTCCTGCTGAACACGTTATGAACATTTTTAGAGCATTGCTCCCAAGGCAGATTAGTTCACATTTGCTTGTGATGAGAAGAAAAGGTGGTATCATCTTATAACCCCTTTAGGCCCATTTACATGGACAAATTCACTGAGCAGTGTGCTTTGTCCCAGTTTAGTATCACCTACAAATTTCATTAAAAATCACCCTCCCTCCTGGCTTCAGCTTGTTATCAAAGCAAATAAACAGGACTCATCCTAAAATCTCTCCACTACAGTAATCCATTTACCTCTACTTTTTGGTGCAACGCACTAACATTATTTCAAAAATAAGTTGCTACAAGACCAATCTGTGTGATACCTACAAATTCACAGTCCTAAGTTTCAGAGTAAACTCGTTATCTTTTCATTCACATTTTTATGCAGATTATTCCCCAGAATATTAAAATTTTGCTTATCTATTTTGTAACTCTTTAGTGGGATCTGTCTGTTCAACACACAGCTACATGAGAAACAACACTAATAGCAGCACCTTCCTAGCTTTTGTCTTTTGCAGTTGAGCAGGATTCCAGAGGCTTAGAAAGTTACACTCACAGAACTAAAAGATCACCAAGGTAACAGAGACAAGGAAACAATTCTCAGTGGTTGTGCTCTGCTGGAAGACATAGTGTCTCCACAGTAACTCTGAACAACAGGACCTGGCAAATAACAAGATTTAAGTTAGGGAGAAGTGAAAATGGTAACTCTATCTATTTTGTTATTCTGCTTTGGTTTTGTTTCTGTGTTTCTATCTGTTTCATTGTGCTTGGCATAATTTCCTTTTGTCTTCCTTTTCACTGATTCAGAAGTAAACACAGAGTAAACTGAATAAAGTAATCTCTTAACTATAAAGGGGAAAACCACTCAGGAGGATGTGAGATTTGTAGTACATTTTCATTAGAAACAGTAACAAATATAGAAGACTATTTCCTTAACATGAGTTTCACATCTGCAAAAGAACGAACTCACATAATAGGTAGCCCAGCCAAATATTATAAAATATGGTCTAATTTACCTTTTCTGACACATAACTTATTTCTGCATGGAAGTATTATTGAAACTAGGCTGCATTAGGGAAAGTCATGTAGAAATTCACAGTGTTTTTTGAATATTCTGCTGAAATATGCTTGGCAGAAAAGTATCAAAGTAACAAAAGCCCAAGTCTGAGGCTTAATTAGCAAAACAGCCATAATACAAAAAATTCTACTGTGATTGCAGAGAAATGGGTCAAGTAGAAAACTAGGTGGTGATCTTCAATTCTAAGTACTTCCATTTGTTTGTCTATGCTTGAATGTTCTCAGAGATCAGAAAGAGACCTCTGAAAAATTACAAAAGACAAAACAATGAAGATTGTGATGGTTAGTCTGCTGCACATTTACAGAACTAGCAGATCATGCTTATTTTGACTGCTAAGTAAACACTTCATCATCATTCTTTACCAGCATGAACAATTCTCAGTGAGTACAGAGGTCTGAAAGCCAATTTTCAGATGAGTTTTTGTAACACACGGCAAGGAGTGACCTGCCATGTGAAAAAGGAGATCTACCACCACTTTTCAGTGACAGCCACTCTCTGTTAACTAGGCTTAGATTTACTGCTACAGTTCAATATTCAAAAGCAAATTCCATAACATATTTACAGTCAGAGTGCTTTAGAATGCTGAGAACAAACTTCTCAATCCTCTCATGACAAGCTTGGCAGCCATAGCTCACCAATCTTTGTCATGTCAATTTTCCTTCCTTAACAACTTCTTGCCTCACCTTTTCAGCCCCCTTGGCACTGCGCTTTCTCTGTTTAAATAAACAATGTCCCTCCCTGATAGAGAAATGTTCATGTTTGCATCAAAGAAAAATGCCAGACATGAGGAAGAAAAGGCAAGCTGGCAATAAGAATACACATACTTTTTACAACAGTCGAACTCTGCAAACAGTTCCTGTTCAGATGAAAAGAGGCCTGCAGAGTTACAGAGGGCACAGCCAGGCAACCTGGGTCAAATGTGCAATTCCATGTAACAGCTGGATTGTCAGAGAGTCTACTCCAACCACTGCATGTGTGCAGCACACACAGCCTGTGCACCTATGAAATCAAGTTACCCAACAAGAGGAGCAATTTTGGCTTCCATGTGCACAAGCAGATTTCCAGGAGTGCTGCAGATCACCTGCAGCAGCCTGCAAGTGCAAATTCCGCTCTCACCTCACGCATCAGAGCCAATTTCCTTTTCTCAAAGGAATCCACATCCAGTTGCCTTTGCTTCTTCCATTTTCTGTTCAGTGCTTTCTCTTGGAGCTCCAGATGTGCCAATGCTTTGTTTTTTGATTTGTGTATTTCACGGCGACGGAGCTACAGAAACATAAATCATTTCAAAAACCAATCTTAAGCAAAATTTGCTAATGAGTTCTTCTTAATTTTATCATTCATGCACTGAACATTATTTATGCTAACTTCACACTAGTGCCAATGACAACCTCATAAACATCTACAAGTGCAAAATGCCATCAGTATTGCCATCTCAATCCCACCCAAATTTAAAGCAGTTCCAAATGTGAATGGGGAAAGGCTCAATTTTTGTCTGCCCTACACCACTGACTTGGCAAGAGTTTCCTCAGCTCTAAAGGGAGGCAAAACCCAAATACTAGCACCTCTAAAGTGCATTAAAAGACAAAATGCATTTTCCTGATTTAACATTGTCAGTCACGAGACAGAGTGTCTCCCTTCTTCTAAAATTAGATTATATATAAATTATATAGTTTAAATACAAATTAAAGAAATTACATGTGTGAGGTGCTTGCTAAAGTCTCAAGAAGCTATCGAGGCAAATAGTTGTGGAATGAAGTCTTTGCTACTGTGACCACCTGTCCTGACAAACCTGTCAAAACTTACAATAGTAGTTCATACTGCCTCTTCCATCCTGGTAATCAGTGCTATCAAGAAAATGCAAATACACATCTAAATTCATGTAAATACAATGTAACTGAATAAATGTAAATACACATGATCTGTTTATTGCAAAAAATTCACATACTTTGCAATCAGCAGGTCACTCAGTATAAAGAAATTGTGTTAAATTGTTCCAATGAAAATTGAGTATTTTCAGAATTAGAGAGACTCCTCGGACAAAGCACATCTTTCAGCCCTTCTCAGCAGAGGTAAGACCTTCAACTAATCCACTAACCCCTCATGTATTTATGCTTTTAATGCTTTTATGATGGCACACAATTTACTGAAATAAAAATTGCAGCTATTGCTTCCCAGTGGGAACAGGAAACTGAAGAACACCAACTGCTGGACCTGGGGATGCTCAGTATCATAAACAAAAAACGAGCACTAAAGAGACATCATGTTCAGAAGCTTGAAAAAGAGATTAAACATTGGCAGAAAACATTCCTATAAGCATGGTAAGCACTTCTCATGTCAGACAACCAGCTAAACGTCCTTGCCACAGGGACAGAGCAGTGAGTGCTATTAAACTTACAATATCCTCAGGCGTTGCACGGTGCACTGTCAAATCATGGACGGTACTCTGCGAACAGGAACCAGGGAACACGTCAAAAGTCGTAACTGAGGGCAAACTCTTTTTTTTTAAGTTTTATTTACCCCGTTAACAACTTTTAAACTGCAGTATAACTAGCCTAACACTATACTACTGTGCACTTTCATGGCGCTGCAGAGCGTTCTACCCTCGGCGAGGCGGCCGCCAGAAGTGAGACCTGCACCAAAGCTGAGGGCGTTCTTTCCCCAGGAGACGCAGCAGGCCTGGTCTCCGCCAGGGCCAAGGAAGCCCGAGGGG